GAAAGAGAGGGGAGAAGAGAGAAAAGTTTTAAATTTGAATCCAAAAGGAAGCAAGGGGGAAACAAATTTTTAAAATTTTGTTTTATCAAGTCAACTTATCTTGCTACTTTCTCCCCCGATCAAATAAAGAGAAACACGTCGATATGTGTTTTTTTTCCCTCTCTCTCTATGGTCTTTTCTTTCGGTTAAACATAGCATGTGCATGAAGAGGACTTGGATATACGGTTTAATTTTACTTGATCTAGGGCTTGGAGCTAAATGGCATGTGTTAATCCAGATTTCTGTGACGTTTAACAGAACTTGGGGCTTGTATTGAATATTGATCAAATATTAGTCGATTTAGTTCTGAGTTCATGGTACTTTTACAGGTTGTCTGTTGAGAAATATCCGACAAGTCCTATGCTTGGTCAACGGGAAATCGTCGATGGGAAGGTAAAATCTCGTAAACCGATCCACTCTTGCCATTACTCGTAAATGAACATTTTTTTTAATGATTTTCTATAGGCTGGCAAGTACACGTGGCTAACATACAAAGAGGTATATGATCTGGTGATTAAAATTGGAAATTCTATCCGCAGCTGTGGTTATGGAGAAGTAAGTCAGCTATGTCTTTCTTACCAGAAATTGAAACTTTTTTTTTTTCACAGTTGTTTTCCATAGTATTGTTATGTTATTACAAATTCTTGGATTCACAGTACATGTTGCACTGTTCACTTATTCATTATTTATAAGCTACATTGATGTGTGCTTTACATGGTTTCATGCCATTGACAAATTTCAAACAACATATGTTCTTGATAATATTGCTATCTGCATACACATGAATAGCTTAGTAATGAATCACAAACATGGCCCCATGAGTTTAAGTGCTTGGCTCTTTGGAACATATTTCTTTTTGCACCTAAATTTGCACATTGGGTCCCTGTTTTATGATTTTGACTTTTCATTTTTGCATGTTTATTTGTAGTTTCTAGCAATTTATTCCTTTCAGCTTAATTCATATATTGCTGGTTTGCAGGGTGTAAAATGTGGTATTTATGGTGCCAATTGTGCAGAATGGATTATGAGCATGGAGGTACATTTTTTTTATTTTTTATTTTTATAATTTCCTCCCCCATTGTCGTCTTCTGAGTTTGTTCCACCTTAATGTTGCTGCTCACTCTATTGTTGGAGGTTTCTATTGTATTTATATATATGTTGATGTCTGCTACTATTTATTGTTATTTTTGTGTCTACTATATTGTTTCTTTCTGTAAAGGTGTTCACCAGATTACCCCACAGTTTATATTAAGTCAATACAAAACATTTTAGTTGATTTAGTTAATCGGTTATTTTTAGTTTAAATGACGGATAATCTAACAAGTGCGAGAAAAATAAATAGGAATTTTTTATTAAATAGTGTATCAGTTTTCAATAAAATTTTTTTGCATATTGATTATTTAAAATAATTAAAATTAGTTTGTTTTTTATTTTCTTTTTCCTTTTCAATTTGAACCAACGTAATGATTTGATTAATTCTTTTAATTTTTCATAAATATATTTTAGACATTGGTGCTTAAATTTTTTCTTCATTTAATTTCATCATATAGTCTTAGTCTTATGATCTTATCTGGTGTTATCAAGTATTTTGGTTATATTTATTATATATAATCATATTTGAGTAAAAAATTAATGATATAGTGATGATAAATATTTTATCACTAAAGTAGAAGAATTGTTTTTATCTTCCATCAATTAAAGACAAAAGTTGAAAATTTACTGAGAAATATTAATAACACTCTTTTAATCGTATTCTTGATTTTGTAATTCTTAACTAGGGATGGTAAATGAATTGATTGGATAAAAATAGATTATTAATTTGTTTAAATTTATTAAAAATTCAATTCATTTAAAGTAATGTTTTAAAAATTAAATAATTTTTATTTTTTAAAATATTTTATTTCTTTCTTTTCTTTATAAATTATTACATTCTTTTATAATTTTTTAAAATTCACAAGACATTTTTTATGTCAAAGTAGTATTTTAAAATCTCAATCCAATAAACATTTCATTATAATTCAATAGATTTTAAAAATATAGTAAATGAATCACTAATCATTTATAAAATTAAATGTATGAATTGGATCGAATTCGTTATTTATTTTTATTGTAATGAATAAATTATATGAATTTACTTGTACATAGATAAATTGGATAAATGATAAATTAACAAATTCATTTGTCACTTCTATTCTTATCTAATAATTTGTTAAATGTAGTAGTAGTATTTCTGGTACTTTAATTATTTTTTATTATAATCTGATGAATCAAACCAGCTTAATTGTAATTAGATTGCTAATATATATATATATTTTTTATTTTTTTAATCAGTGACAATTTTCTTTTAAAAGTTGAAACAAATCTACCAAATTAATTTAGAATAGTTTATATTTAGTTTTATTCTAAAATCCAAACAATCCAACTTTTGAGGAGAAATTTCATGAAAATTAAATATAATTATAATGAATCTCAGATGTAGGGTCAACAAATATTATAAACGGCATAGCTAATCTATATGGAACATCAAACAAACAAACACTCACCTCGGGAAAGAGGATAAAGGGGGGTATATATATGCGGTGAATAACTAAATTTAGCCAATGCACTTATATTATAGACCCATTTATTTTAAACTACTAAGAAATAATGTTTTATTATTCTCAACAATAAAAATAAAATAAAATATTTTTGTATTGTTTAATGAGCTAGAGCTTATCGGCTGCTTAAATTTTAAATTATAAAATAATTTCTCAACAATCCCCCACTAATTTAAAATTTCTATATAGAAAAAATGATATATATATATATATATATATATATATATATATATATATATATATATATTAATAACAACTTTCTAATACCAAAATAAATTGAAGGTCTAGCCACAATGGCTCTGATTAATAACCCGTTGATAAGTTCCACATATTATGATCACAGAAACCAAAGAAAAAATTACGTTAATCTCATGGAAAACTACACAACCACTAATTATGCATTTGATTCTCCGTTGCGAAAAGCGTAACATTTTATCAAAGAAACTTATTATATAGTAATTAGTAACACTGTTAGCATTTACTATGGAAAATCACTGAATAATACTGCGTTAACTTGGAGGCCAAGAATTTTTGTTGACAAAATTATGGACTGCTAAGGACGATAACGAATAGGGTCTCAAAAAAGAAAAAATAGTATCCATTTTTATAATTATATTAAAAAAAGTTCTCTACACTTGGCGGCCCATATGAATATAAAAAGTATATTTAATTTTCATTTTTATACCTATTGACTATTTATATAATCATATAAACGGTTAGAGTTGACTTAATGGTAGAGATTTTATATATAAAGTCTTAGATTTGAATTTTGATATTATTATTGTAATTTTAATGGATATAAAAAATTATATACTCATATAACAATAAGTTTTTATGACTTTAAGAGAAATTTTTATTCAAAACATAATTAAAAATAATATTAAATCCCATTTTATTTTCTTATCAATTACAAAATAATTAATAAAAAGTTTATAATTATTTTTCTACTGAATATTTCTCTCCTAAAATATATAAAGACAAATTCATTCAATTTATCCTATAATATAGTTAATATCACTTATTACATATATTGTCAATAATAATTTAGAAACAACACATTCATTTAAAAAAATATATATTTTTGATAAAATTTAATATATTTAATAATCTAAAATTTGAAATTAAATTATTAACAATGTTAGTGCAAAACTACACGTGTCTAATAAAATTTGTTTATTTTATCACATCATCTGATTCATTAATAGGATGCAACCACATGGTAAACTCTTTTTGGTACATTTTGTTATATCTTTTTATTTTTAAAAATAAATAAATAACGTTAACATAATCAAAAGAATAAGTAAAGTTAATATTTTAATATTCACTATAAATTATCTTGAGTATATAAATATTCCAACTTATATGAAAATAGAAAATAATTATTAACAACTTAATTATAAACACATTTTATAATATTACTGATGTTATCACTATCATCATTATTTTTACCATTCTCACCATCATTATTATTATTTCCACTGTTTTTAACGTTATTGTTATCACTTATCATGTGTTGCCTCCACTACTATTAACTCCATTATCACAACATAACTATCATTACCTTTACCTTCCATCAGCATTGTACCTTTAGTCGAAGTTGCCACTAGCCTACTACCACCAACACCCCAATGTCGTTGTTATCAATTTTAATTTCTACTCGTATTTTACTCTTATGTCAATTTTTTTATACATATATTCTTAATTATAATTATATCTTCAAATACACATATACACAACATATACCTTGCTTAAGCGTGGATCAACCCCTACCACTGAACCACACGCTTGGAGTTAACAACGGAACACACACACACACACACACACACACACACATATATATATATATATGTATGTATGTATATATATTGTAATAATAATATTAATTACTTATTATCTTTTTAACAGATTGTCTTCAAAATCTTGGGACTAATCATTACACATGGTAGTGATAGCAACAATGGTGATGCAAGCAATGTTAATAATAATAATGACAATAGTAATGATGATGATAATCACAATAATATTAGTAAGAAAAAGATTAGTGGTTTCATAAAAATATTTATAATTAATTTTTAATCACAGTAGTCTATTATTTTCAATCTTAATCTAAGATTTACTATTAGTTGTTCTCATATTTTCGTTATACATTCCATATATGTAAGAGACATATATTACAACAATTGTTTTCTTATATGGGAATGATTAACCACAATCTTTAGATTAAAATAAATAACTTAAATTAAAGATTCACTTTAAACCACAATTGTCACCACCACTAATGAGAGCAACAATGATGATGTTTGATAATAATGATAATGATAACAATATTGATGGATGCAATTTTAAATGACATTTTTAAACCATGTCAATAATTATAAGTTAAGGTATAAGATTATTCATTCTCACATAAAAATTCATGTTTTTTTTATATAATTGCAACAGGGATTATTAAACCTATGTTTTCATAGAGACATATTAGAATGAAAAAGTCAAACTTGCAATGATAACTCTTGAATTACAATTATTAAAAAAAAGCCTACAATTGAAATTTATTCATTAATACCTATTTTAAAATAACTATTATTACTATTGCCTCTATTATTACCTTTGTTGCACTATTGTTCCTATTATCATTATCAAAAATAACAATAAATAATGATATAAATAATAATAGAGACAACAACAATAATCTAATAAAAGATATTTGAAATTGAGTTTTTTTTTTTATGGTGAAGGTTGTGATAGATGCATTAGTATTAAGTTTAAGTTTGATTCTCATCGTTGTTATAATTTTTCGTATTGGTAAAAAAAAGTGTATTTCGTTATAAGAGTTTCTCTCCTAAAGCAGTCCTAGATGTATAGGGAACAGGTACAACAATACTTATATCCACACTCATTCCTAAAAAATTTGTAGGTAAATATTCAACATTAGATGCATCTCCATTGAGTAGATATTTACCTAACGATTGTAAATATTTTTTGAGAGTACAGTAGCATTGCCATCCTTTGATGCAAACCTACATTTTTTTTATTAATATTTTCTGGTGATTGCTTTTGCAATCCATTTTTACTACTTACACCACCTCTTATTTATAAAAAAAAAATCCCACTAATAACTCTTGCTAGAATAGTGGTATTCATTGTTTCATAATTTAGATCACGAACAATAAAAAAAAATGTAACTTTGGAATTTAAATCCAAAATAATGTACAACACAATTCTAAGGATAGTTTTACAAAGTTCCAAAAGTCATTTTTTTTCTTCACATTTTCAGAATTATTTTTTTAAAATAATAATGACATTTTATTATTAGTGTTTATTGCTATTATTAGATCAACAAGTGCCAATATACAAATAAAATGAGTCAATACCATATAAAAATAAACTTAAGAGTCAAACACCGGATAAAATAAAATACATATTAACAGTAGGTTATGTCTTCCTATCTCCAGTCTTAAATATAAGTAAGACAAATCATCAATACT